ATACCACATTGACTTTTTTAAACCTTGGATATAATTATCTTGGATTTGCAGGAGGAATAGTGCTAGCGGATGCACTTTGTAAGAATACCACTCTAACTTCTTTGAATCTTGCCTATAATAATCTTGGGCCAGAAGGTGGAAAAGCATTAGCTGATGCACTTTGTAAAAACACTACACTAACTTCTTTGAATCTTGGTAATAATAATCTTGGGTCTGACGTCGAAAGAACATTAGTTGATGCGATTTGTAAGAACACTACGCTGACTTTTTTGGATCTTAGCTGTAATAATCTTAAATTTAAAGAAGGAGCAGCATTGACAGATGCGCTTGGCAAGAACATTACGTTGACATTTTTGGATCTTTCTCGAAATTTTATTAATTTTACTATAAAACCTAATAATCTAAAGTTTAAAATAATTCAATAATTCATATCTTAAAATAATCCAATAATTTATATACAGTACAAATATAAATGTAATTTTACTTTGTAATGTAATGTTAACGAGAGAGTAGAGTGTACAGTATTGAAATAAATTAGTACAAGAGTCAAGATAAATATAATTTTAAACTAGACATTGCTATTTCAATTGACTAATAAAATGTTACAGAATAAAATGATATCAAATCAAAATAAAATTGCGGTATTTATTCAATCCTCCAAAAACCCTTATTAACAAACTTGACACTAAATTCTAATTAAATCCCTAAAAATGTTAAATTACCCTGAAATTTTGCTGCGATATGAAAATTTCATATTAAAACTAGACAATTGAACATGGCAGCTCCGCACTTCAACTTTAATAATTCAATTAACTTTATTAATTGTACGTCGCAATGAAACTTTTGTCAATTTATAATCTACTTAGGTTGAAATAGAATTCTAAATGTGATCCAAGTTGATACAAAACCTAAAGGCGACCTAAATTGATTCTAAATTTGAACCGGATATAAAGAGTTAAATTTAATAGCATCTTAAGTTTATTCTTAAATCCGATACTGTAATAAATATTGACGTGACGACAGATAAAGTAAATTACGTCATATCGTTATAATAAAGCATATCGTAAATGTGTACAAGGTTGGCGGCGAAGACTAAATTCTTAAAATTCGTTAAGGTTAGGGTTAGGGTCAAAGTTGGGATCTAGGAAGGGATAGGTTATATTGTAAAATTGTTCGACAGAAGATTTTTGTTAGAGCACAAAAGGTGGTTTATTATGCTGATTTTTGAGCTATGAGTAATTTTTGGCAGAACGAAGAATCTTCCTGATCGTGTTACGTTACACCTAATCTTGAATCTGATTCGTAGTTCAGGAGATCTGCGCCACCAACCTTGTACACATTTACGATATGCATTTTTTGTATCTACCTAAACAACATAGGTGTTAGCTGTAGGATAAGTGTTATACATGATATAAAATAGCCTTTATGTACTGATCATGCCGAAATCATCGGCTGGAACATCATTCAGTCAATTTTTATCAGGTGCTCCAGGAATTATTAAAGTAGCAGTAAAATTTATAAGAACAGCCGTAAAATAAGTCAAATCAGCCTTCAATTATATAACTGAATTAGTAAGTTACTAATGTTGGTAAGCTTACTGACTCAGTCGAATAAATAAATTTTTTTTGCAAATCAATACACAAGCTACCTTACAAATTAGCAAACTTATCGGTTCACCAAATGAAAATAGCTGCAACGGTATCGATATTAAATGATCACTTAACATCTTATATGTATTAAAATTAATTTGATAGAAAATGATGCAAAAGTCATTTAATTTATGTGTAGGAATATATATATATACAGGTTACTCCCGTTAATATCAACCTCGTTAATATCAACCTAAGCCACAAAACAAATTGTTATAAATTTTTATATATCAAAATTACTCATATATATCAACTTTAATATGATTCTCGTTAATATCACTATCAACATGATTTAAAACCAATTCAATTAGGTTGATATTAACGAGGGTAACCTGTATATATAAAGGTACAAGCAGAGATGTTTAACTCTTATACTATCACGGGATTAAATTCTTCAGGAATGATGATTTCGTATCCTGTAAAAGTGAAATTTCCGAAAATGAATTATGGTTTTTCGTTTTGTGGAATACATTTTTATTCTTCCCGTAATATCTTTAATTCGCTCTTTTTATAATTCTCTAATAAGTCCTTTCGTGCTGACTCGTTTCTACAATTTTTGATTTCTCTCTCAATTTCACTTTTTATCCATGCAGAAGTTCTTTTCATAACGTATTTGGCGAGGGGGGTGTCTGGGTTGGAGGAAAAGAAAAGGCTCCTGCTGCATTAATTCGTAAAGCTGTTTGTGCAGCTATTGATGGAAACTATGAGATGGAAATCTGGGGTTCCGGAAATCAGCGTCGCAGTTTTTTGTATATCGAAGATTGCGTTGATGCTACCATTAAGTTAATGGAAAGCGAATATTCTAGACCATTAAATATCGGATCTGAGGATGCCATTACTATAAAGGAATTGGGCTATATCGCTTTTGAAACCGTTGGGATTAAACGTGACCAAGTCAAGCTAATTACGGATGAAACAAAGCCCGTC